GTTATGCATGTGTGACGTCATCAATGGGTCAAGGGTTGTTGGAAGTCGACATCGCCCACCGTTCCGGTTGACAGAAGGTTGTTGCGCCTTGACGTCTGCCTATTGTTGTCTTGTCTTCCCTGTTTGTAGTCAGACGTCTCTGCTCGACACAAAGTGTACATCCGGCAGCAACCAGCCACTGTGCCCCCCAGGACAGCCTGCATCATGCCCGGCCGTATCTGTAAACAGTACCCCATCCTGTGTGAGAGACTCGGACTCTTCTCTCAGAGAGGTAGGGACATTGTAATTTGTATGGAAGTATAGTGACTTTCTCTGCCTGTCCTAATAGCATCGGTTGCGTGGTGGGTGGGAGGTGATTTTGACAGTTGATTGATAGGGACGTCACGGCTGAAGGTGACCCAATACGTGCCAGGTGGGGGTAAGTTGGTAGTGTGTGGAGGAATTCAGGAAGTAGTATAATACTCATCATCATCATCATCGGTCGGCTACGGAGTATAATAATACTCAATAGGTTTAACTTACAATTTACACAAAATCATCATCATCTTGACGAGCTAGTTGCTTGGATGTTTCCCTCCATCACATCAATCCCTTTTGAAACTATCACATCTTTTTCACACAGGCTGTGCACCAACGTTTGGAAGATTTGTGGGCTAATAAAGCACGGAGCAGAGTCTGACATGACAGGAACCTTCAGGTAAGAGTTGTACTCTGTTCTGAGGATTCTAGCACTTAACCTAAAGACATGCATATAGCTAACTTATGTACAGTTGAACCTTGCAATTTGCCTTTGAGCACAGCTTTTCAAGTAAATATGTCAAAATATACTTTCTTTCTATAGGAACATGGATGGCACCCAGCACATCGGACTTTCTAGCCATCTCCCCACTCCACACCAACCATCCGGCACAGACTACACCATTTAATGGACACTAAGACAGACATTACCTGCAGTGACAGTACAGTATAGTAGCCTGGTGCTTCCCAGGGGCAAGTTGCAGGATTATAATCTGCTTAACTGTTTTTTTTTTGTACGTTGTCATCTGTCTTGCCATGACTGGTTTACTGAGCCTTTCTGTCAATTGAAGATGGTACCACATGTACAACTTACCCCCATTTGGAAATTTCAAACCTCTGGGAAGTAGTTTTTGTGAATTTATTGGCACAACCATGGTCTGAGTAACTTTTAACGGGCAGTAAGACAGAAACCTTGTTGTGACATGCCCAAAGTGGGTGACTTGCCTTGGTGATGAAGCCATCACTTTCTTCCAACTTGACCTTCATGTCAATCTGCAGTAACCCCCATCCCCCAACCCCATTTTACAGCACTCAAAATACCTCAAACACAAGCAGACACACAAGAATAGCACCCAAACAATACTGGTAATTATGCTGCAACTTGCATCGGAGGGAACACAAACTTTAGCATACCCTATGCCACAGGCCCTATCCAAAATGGGTGAATGCGTGGCATTTTGGTACTCGGAGCAGACACAGGACAGACAACGACACCATTCAGGGGAAAACTGCACAAGGTTTTTTTTAGGAACTAGTCGGGCTAGAAAATTAGTAGAAATGTAGAACCAAAGAAGAAAAGGCCCTAAGCTGGGCCAATTCAAGAACCAGAATACAAATAGAAGTGATATGTAAAAAAAAGTTTTTAAAAGCCTGCAAAAAAAATGCCCAGTCATAGAACAGTCACCAGAATTAAGTTATTCATTTTTTTACCAACAATCATGCTGGTCCTAATGTTCCTTATGTGAATGTAACTTACATGTATATCATTAGATATCTGTACTACACAGTTTAGTTCTGCCAGACCATGCTTGTAATGTCAGTTATGCAAGAAATGACAAAGAACAATAAAAAAATTCCAGAAGGGAACCTGTATCCTGAGTCATATTAGTCAAATTAGTCATGCACCACGGGTGAGAAGTAGGACTACTAACCACTACACCACATTCAAAGAAGGCAAAGCTCTAGTTAAAGAAATAATGAGTGCAATACCCCAGACAGCAGAAAATGTTTCATCTATCTTATGGTAATACATGCGTGTAGATGTACAAATCAAACCATTGCAACATCTGTTGACACTGACATATATTTTGTTTTCAGATCAAACAAAGAACAAGACCTGATCTGAAATGCACATATCATGATACTGCCTTTTCTTACAGAAATGTTTCATGTTATTCAAAATTTTTTGAGAAAAATCCAAAAATTTCACTAACCCTTCAATTACATAATCAGCAACGATCAAAATATAAGCACATAGAAAATGATCCCATGAAGTACATGTAATACTATCCCCAAAGTCTTGAAAGTTCTAATTACTAAGTGCTTATTTGCTTGTCAATGGGAGAAGCACAATTTTCGGTCGCTACTGTTGATCGAGCTCATGTTGCTTAACGCTGAGTGAAGAACCCGTGTTGACTGTTGAAGACAAACGGTTTACATCGACTGGGACCCCTGGAACAGAGAGAAAGCATGCAAGATTGAAAAAGGCGATTTTGATTATCATAGCATTTTCAACCAGGTATCTATGATGGTAACAAGAAAGATAAATGCTGTATGACACACGTACTACATTTGTACTATCCAGAAAATGCCTTCAATTTGTGATTGTACAAGTTGACTGGGCCCTTCATCATCATCATCTATCGGCTAACAGCCGGGACTAAGCTAGTGCAGATTTCTTTCCATACAGCCCTATCAAGCATTACATTTTCTAAGTCATCAAAGTCAATTCCAGTGTCTCTAACTAAGGTATCGGTGAATGTCAAACTTCTGGAGTGCACTCGTCCACGTGGTTTCCACATGAGTACAGATGAAACAATTTCTTGCTTGGCTCGGAAACAATGTCCAGCGAACATAACTCGACGGTGGGTGAGTTTTTGAGACAGTCTTGGGAGTCCTCCATAAATTTTTTCGAGAGTGGCATGTTGCCTCCAAGATATATTCTGTGCCCTCCGCAAGAGTTTTGTATAAGTCCCGTCCAATCGT